GTGTATGGGTTTCCCAGGGATGAGTTGCAGCTGGAAGGGGATCCACTGCGTAAAACATATGCTGGATAAGTTGGCGGCTCATTCCGCTGTGGCAACCCCTGATTAATAAAGGGACTAAGCTGAAATGAAAAATGAATAAATGAATGAGTTATTGCTTAACTATATCATATTTACATTTTAAACACAAAGACCCATATTTTGTGCTTCAAAAAAAAACTGCATTGACTGCATTCTAACTGGCTGCATCATGCATTGAAAAAGGCACATACTCCATAATTCAGTTCATACATGTACATTGTGATAATGTAAATTATAAATAAATCTTTATAAAAAGATAATAAAAAAATAATTATAAATATGGCACAGTGGGTAGCAGTTTCAAATTCTTGAAAATTCAAGAAAGTGTGCGCCTTGTTAGTGTCTGTCATGAATAAATAATCATGAAATTAAAGTGCCAGTATGTGGAGTACAGTATAGTATAAGAGTACAGTATACATGTGTTGTCAAATAAACTGTTTGTGTGGAGTTTGCATGTTCTCCCTGTGTTGGCATGGGTTTACCCTGGTTGTTCCAGTTTCCCCCACAGTTCAAAGACCTGCATTATACTGTAGGTGAATTGAATAAGCTAAATTGTCCATAATGTATGTGTGTGAATGAGTGTGTATGGATGTTTCCCAGTGATGGGTTGCAGCTGGAAGGGCATCCGCTGCATAAAACATAAGCTGGATAAGTTGGCGACGGACCCCTGATTAATACAGGCACTTAGCTGAATGAATGAATTAATGATATTATACAATATTAAGGAAAACGTGCTATAGTTCTGTTCTTCTTTTGTATTGTATTTGTACTTCTATTCCATTGTGACGTAAATATCAGAGTGAACAGCATCTCATACTAAATGAAATGCAGGGTGGGACTTGATTTCAGCCCTTGGGGAACCGATTGGATGGTTGTGGCTTTCTGTTGCTGTGATTGACAGATTGACCCCGCCCTCCTGTCAGTAAACACATCATTACAGAACAGATGTGGAGTTTCCTTTAGATTGGAGATTATGACAGCATATGAGTTTTAAAAAAGGGATGTTTAGGGATAAATCATTTATGATACTGCGATATATCCAAAAAAATGACTTCATAATGATCTCACTGAAAGCTATGAGCTGAACCCCTACACGCACACAATACCCAGCCTGTGAACTAACCTGGACTAGGCATCAGCAAATACAGTCAATTGTGTGAATCCATTATGTCGTTATTGCCGTCAATTTGATTTTTGTTTTTGGACCAACAATGGGCTCTTTCAGACGGGTCGGTGGAGTGGTGAGACGGCGGTACGGGACATAGGCTTTCATTATTGAGGGCACGGGAGTTTAAACCCTCAGCATGTATGGCATTTAGGGGCCGTGCGTGTGGCAGCTGAGCACAATAAGCATCTATGGACGTCCCTTTGCTCTGCTGCTAGCTTGTACTGTCTTTATTGCATGACAAGAGGTTAGACGGGGCTCATTGAGCCTGACTGTGCTGACAGACTGAGTCTAGCCCTGGGTAGACGGAGGGCGGCCTTTTGCACAGACAGAAGACGAGGTCAGGAAAATGCTGACGAGTGACTGCTACCGGCAACATGCAATAAAGGAAACAGTGTACGTTTAAAGGAACAGTTCATGCTGTATGCTTTTATTTTATTATTAAACATGGATGCTTTTATTTCTTCTGTAGAAACATGAGTAGATGAGCTGCGCATCGGTGGAGTTGCTCTTCAGTGTTCTGGCTTTCAGCAGTGACATTTATGGAACAACTGAACTGAAATAGTTTTGACTTACTAGAACTGTCTATGTTAAGCTGCTAAACTTTTTTTTTAACCCCCTATGCCCTATTCATTTACAAAATTCTAACATTTAAACTTGGAATTATTAAAAATAAAATGGCTTTAAAGTAATCTCTCCTAGGTGTAATTTGCTTTCAAAGTATTTTTACAGTTCAGTTTTAGCGATCTCCATGTTTACATTTGTGCTCCCTTCGCAGTGCACTTTAAAAACATTGATGTCATTTTGAACAGTCTCATGACAAAAGCTATAGGTGACCTATTATTCAAAAGCGGAACTTATGTTACGTCTCCAAAGCTTGTGAAAACAAAAAACAAAGCGTACGTTAATGCTTGTAATTTATAGTGGGTTATTTATTAAGTATCTGTACTGTATATGACATGGGCCTGCTGGTTAGCACATTTCTGCAGTGGTTTGGATTTGTCAAATTGTAAAAGTAGACTTTAAAAAAAAAAATAAAAAAAAAAAAAAATAAACAATATCTTACCTAATAATAATAATCATCATCATTATTATCATTAATATTATTAATATTATAATTAAAGTAGCATTTTTAAAATATTAAATTAAATTTCTTAATAAATAGCCTCATCATTTATTTATTTATATGATTTATATATATATATGATTAGAATGCGTGTTTGTTTTTGTAAGTGATTTTATGTTTTAGAATATAATATGTAATGTTCTCAATACTATTTGTAAAGGAAATAAAGGCCCTATATGTGCTATTTACATACAGTATATTTCCGTAAATTTTCAGTAAGAGAGTGCATGTTTTTACCAAAACTAATATTGGATTTTTTAATTTGCACGAAGAAAGGATGGTTTTCTTCTCTAAAGAAGTTGTTACCATCCCGTTCAGAGCATCATTTTGAGCATTTTACATTATAACTAACGTGATTCAAATGATGGATCTGCGACAGAGAAACTACAGTTTTTGGGAAACACTCATCAAGAAGTTGTTCTTTTCCCAAACAATGCATCGTACTATGATAGTTCAGCCACGAGTTATGTCGTTGTTTGGGAAACCCACGCCTGATTGGTTTGTTTTATGGATTACAATGCTTTTTTTCAAAATATACATTTTCTGCTGTAACTGGTGTTCTAAACAATACAAAACCTCTTTGGTGTTTGACGATATCTGCTGCTCTTACTGTATGTGCGGCAGCAGACAGCGGGGTCCTCTGAACCGGCGTCCTCCGGTGACTTCGGTTATCCCAAAGAACAATCTGCCCCGAATATGTGCCGCCCACCAACAGGTTAGGATGAAACAGAGCAAAACCCACCGACACCACAGGAGACTGGAAAAAGAGATCACAAGACAGCATCTTCAGGCAAGAGAAAGGTGGAGATGCTAATGATGATGCGGATGATAATGCACTACTTTCTATAAAAAGTAATTAAGTAACACAACTAGTTACTTTTTGGGGAGAAAACCTATAAAAGAGTTACTAAGTAATGCAATTAGTTACTTATTTTGGGAAATAACAACATTGCAACATATTACTTTCTATAAAATTAACAAAGTAATGCAACTAGTTACTTTTTGGGGAAATAACTCAATATTGTTACGCATTACTTTCTATAAAAATTAACTAGGTAATGCAATTAGTAACTTTTTTGTAACGCATAACTTTCAATAAAAAGTAACTAAGTAATGCAATTAGTTACGTTTTGAGGGAATAACTCATATTTGTAATACACTGCTTTCTTTAAAAAGTAACTATGTAACACAATTAGTTATTTTTTTGTAACGCACTACTTTCTATAAAAAGTAACTAAGTAATGCAAGTAGTTACTTTTGGGGGAAATAACTCAATATTGTAACGTATTACTTTCTATAAAAATTTACTAGGTAACGCAATTAGTTACTTTTTTGTAACGCACTACTTTCTATAAAAAGTAACTAAGTAATGCAATTAGTTACTTTTTTGAGTGAATAACTCATATTTGTAACACACTGCTTTCTTTGAAAAGTAACTATGTAACACAATTAGTTACTTTTTTGTAACGCACTACTTTCTATAAAAAGTAATTAAGTAATGCAACTAGTTACTTTTTGGGAAAATAACTCAATATTGTAACGTATTACTTTCTATAAAAAGTTAATAGGTAATGCAAATACTTTCTTTTTTGTAACGCACTACTTTCTATAAAAAGTAACTAAGTAATGCAATTAGTTACTTTTTTGAGGGAATAACTCATATTTGTAACACACTTCTTTCTTTAAAGAGTAACTAAGTACTGCAAGTAGTTTCTTTTTGGGGAAATAACTCAATATTGTAACACATAACTTTCTATAAAAAGTAACTAGGTAATGCAATTAGTTACTTTTTTGAGTGGGGAACTCATATTTGTAACACACTACTTTCTTTAAAAAGTAACCATGTAACGTAATTAGTTATTTTTTGTAACGCACCACTTTCTATAAAAAGTAACTAAGTAATGCAATTAGTTACTTTTTGGGAGAAAACTTAGCATTGTAAGACATTGCTTTGCATAAAAATAACTAAGTAACGAAACCAGTTACTTTTTTGGGTAGTAACTCGATATTGTAATGCGTTACTTTCAAAAGTAACTTTCCCCAATCCTGTTAGCAACTGGCTTATTCCTTGCCTATTATTAATAAGATATTAACTGTTTATTATAAAGAATGATTTTGCTCTAATCTCTAATCCTACCCAATATCTAAACCCAACTACTAGGCAAGACAAAGATGTAGATGATGATGATGAAGGAGGAGCATTGGGCAGAGAACCAAACTATGCTAAAGATTGCGGGGAGCAGCAGTTTTATATTACAGCATCATAAACAGTGTGCATTAGAGCGAAAAGCGCAGGCTTTTGTTGTGACAGCCTTGGCCTTGAACTTTCCCTCCGTCTTCACTTTTATTGAGTTTTCGGTTCCTCTTCAGTGCGTGTCACATGAAACGTGCCCTTACGCTTACACATTTTCACACAAAATGCCTTTTACAATTATCTCAGGAGACCAATTACTGACAGCAAGGAGACAACGATATTTTGTTTTATTCTGCCCATATCGCCGTGGTGTGACAGAAGCATGTTTTTATAAAGTAAAGACTACGACTGTCTCCGTTCCTACACCACACCATCTGCGGCCTCCCCGTCATGCACCCAGAGTTCATTTTAAAGTGACTGGAAAACAAACCAGAGCAAAAGAAAACACGCTTCTCCTTTCTTCCATTCGTTCCCCCCTTTAAAAAAAAAAAAGGCTTCTGAGAGGCTTCGGGAGCAGCTTCACATGTGAGGTGGTTTTTTTAAAAGGACTCAAAATAAACCAAGCCGGAGGGGTAAAAATAAAGGCGAGTTGAGTTTATTTACACTCAGGACACGCAGGCCAATCTGGTTCAATGTTTAAATGTGTTAAGAAGACAAAACTGTTTGATGGTTGGACTGGAGATTATTTGGAAGATTTAGAAATACAGATTGTGTGATCGACTCTGGCCTGATGGAGACACACTGCCAAAATACAGAGAACTGGCTCTTATTCACACCCAGTTCATTTTCATCAGGGGTGTCCAAACTTGGTCCTGGAGGGCCGATGTCCAGGAGAGTTTAGCTCCAACCCTAATCAAACACACCTGAACCAGCTAATCAAGCTCTTACTAAATATACTAGAAACTTCCTGGCAGGTGTGTTGAAGCAAGTTGGAGATAAACTCTCCAGGACACCGGCCCTCCAGGACCGAGTTTGGACACCCCTGATTTACATAGTCGAGTCAAATTATGTTAGTTTGTTTTAATAATGGTGTGCTCAGTGGTTAGCAATTAAACTAAATAGTTGGCGATTCATTCCGCTGTGGTGACCCCTGATAAATAAAGGGGCCAAGCCAAATGAAAATGAAATGAGTAATTGTCCGAAGTATGCGTGTGTGTATGTGTGAATGTGAGAGTGTGTGGATGTTTTCACTAATCCAACTAATCCAAAAGAATATTTCCATCTGGTGACTGGGCTGGCCAATCCTGGAGCACCTTAACCTTCTTTGCTTTCAGGAACTTTGATGTGGAGGCTGAAGTATGAGAAGGAGCGCTATCCTGCTGAAGAATTTGCCCTTTGTAATGTAATGGGCAGCACAAATGTCTTGATACTTTAAGCTGTTGATGTTGGCATCCACTCTGCAGATCTTTCGCACACCCCCATACTCAATGTTACCCCAAACCATGACTTTTTCTTCACCAAACTTGACTGATATCTATGAGAATCTTGGGTCTATGCAGGTTCCAGTAGGTCTTCTGCAGTATTGGTGATGATTGGGATGCAGTTCAACAGATGATTCATCAGAAAAATCAACCTTCTGCCACTTTTCCAAATGATCAACTAGAAGTCAAGTTATTATTCATTGCTCTAACAACTGTTATCGAAGACAAGACTTTTGTCAGGTAATGTAAGCTCATTGTGTATTAATAGCGCAACCTCTACATTAAAATAAAGTTTTGCCATCTTATGTTGCATCTAAAAAAATAGATATAAATAGTTACACAATGATTAAAAAGTCACCTTCTACAGGAACTGCTTTAAATATATTAGCTTTAAATATATTATGATTCCCACCCCTAACTACAGTGTTATTGTAGAAAATCAAATGGAAAGCAGATACTTGCAGGCCCACTACACCGGCTGCAATAATACAATCACTGGACATCAAAAGCCAACATTTCCCTTAATAAATTGATTAGTATCTTTTAAGAGGTTGAAAAGTTTCACTCCAGTCTTGATTAGTCTGATTGCCAGTATGGCTAGAAAAAGGATCTCGGTTGGGTGATTAATGATCAGTGGGTCCTGAATACTAACACACAGAGAGAGAACGGGGAACGTTTCTGCTTAAATAGACGGCTATTTCAATCAGAACCACAAGCCGACCTCTGAACCAAGTCTCTTTCTCCTTCTCTGCTTCAGTCTTGTGTCAGAGACCAGCGCTTCATTACTGGCCTAATGAACATGAGCCGGGGTCACCACAACAAGAGGGTAATAACTCCACTATGAAGCCATTAATCAGAGACTTAATGAAGTATCGTAACCTGAAACTCCAGCTCAGGAGAGCCGTCCGGCCAGCAGCCAGTGATGAGCGTCTCTGTGTGACTCGTCTGCTGGGGAGCATCACTGTGTCCTGCAACAACCTCTGTCTGTCTGCGTTCTGTTCCTGGACGTACTGAGTTTGTAGAATAGCTGACTGGTGAGGTAGTTTTGATCAAATATTTCCAAAGTGATGGTTAATTGAGAGATTTTTTCTACATATTTTTAAACATAAGAGTTTTGATAGCTAATTCCTTGTAAACACTATTTTTTAGTCTTTGCCATTAAGACAGTACATAATATTATACTATTTATGTTGCATGATACTACTATTCAGCTTAAAGTGCAATTTTAAGAGGACCTATTATACAAAAATCACCTTTAAAAGGGGTTTAAACAGTCAAACAGTTGTGTGGAAAAATGTATTAATTTTATTTTTAATAATTGCACTTGATAAAAAACAGTCTGCAGAAACACTTTGATTGACACTCCCCCTTTGTACGTCTCATCAAAAAGGAAAAGCCCTGGCCATTAGCGATGATCTCTCCCTCATTAGAATAAAATGTAAGTCTTGTCTTTAAATCTGCCACTATGCTGACACATTGGCATTTGTAGCTCCACCCTCTTTTAAAAAGAACACAATCTCATTTAAATTTAAAGTGTCAGTCCCCAAAATGGCACAATTAGGTGGGAGGGTGGTGTGGTATTTTGAGCTGCAACTTCACTTATCAGAGGGACATCAGAGACTTATTTTACATCTTGTAAAAAGGGGCATAATAGGTCCCCTTTAAAGGCTTAACTAGGTAGTCATGAAACTTAAGGAGGCTAACAATGTAGAATGATTCTATTCCAGCCAGTATAAAGGAAACAAGATTTTCTTCATGAGGAAAAAAATTAAAGGGAATACTGTGAAATGTTTACTTGCTCTGTTAAACAACATAAGTGAAATATTAGAAAAATTAGAAAAAAATCACAGAAGGGCTCATAATTTTGGCTTTTATAATATATATATATATATATATATATATATATATATATATATATATATATATTGGTTAACAATAATATATCATGTATCAATATATATCATATATCAGTATATTTATGTTATATAAAATATAAATGAATTATTAAAATGATAAAAATTATAAATAACACTAATACTTTTAATATCATACAAATAACATTAGATTTTACATCTAAACAGAAATAAAAAATATATATATATATTTATATATTAAATAAATACAATGTTAACAAATACAATG